GCAAGCGGACTGACCCTGGTCCCTCGAGGACCTTAGAGATGGCAATACCAACGTGAGGGAGGCCATTAGAGGCCTGGTGGTGGTGGGGAAACACCATGAAAGGCAGTAGATGACCGGCGATGTGGGTAAATTAGGGCTAGGGCTTGAGAGCTTTTGGAGAGGAAAAGGATTTCAGGGCGGCGGATGGTGAGAAATGAGAGGGTTTGGGGGGTCGTTTGGAACTAAAAAAGGAAGGGATTAATTTTGGTCGTTGATCTCTATGATCAACGGCCGAGATTGAATGAGATTGGGGCCAGGTCGAGCATTATGGTTTGGGCTGGGTGGGTTTAGTTTCTACTTGGGCTGGGTATTAGGTCAAATTAGGACCAGAATTGAAATAAAAAAAAATAGGGCCAGATTTTAAATAGCAACTTTTAATAACTAAATAATTTATAAAAAAATAATAAATGAATTCCAAAAATATCTTTGTGTACTAAAATGATTTAAAATAGTTATTTAATATTTTAAAAATATAAAAGACCATTTTGTGCATAAATAATGTAATTATACATTAGTATGGGCTATTATTGCAAAGATGTGCAATTTAGCCTAAAAATTGTAAATGTAATTATAAAAATGCACTAAAAATATTTAAACACAATGTTGGCATAAATAATAAATTTAGATAGCTAAATAATCACAAAAGTAGTATGAAGGATAATTATTGGATATTAAAATAATAAAAGGAGAAGAAATAAATTAATTTGGAGCTTTTAAAACTATAGAAAAATTATAAAAATACTTATGCATGCTTATAATCTCTGTTTTAAAATGCAGAATCGGGACTCGCCCGGGGCTCGCCCTGGGGCGGAGCACTCGTAAAATGCCCCTAAACTTATGTGTGTGGCTTAGTTCCGTGAGACTTACGCCTCGGCCGTCGGGGCTAACACCCAGGACACGCCCAACGTCCAGCGTACTGGGCTCGCCTATAGAACTTTATGCAATTGTGTGTAACTAACCTTGTAAATTATCATTTTTTCTTAATAAACCGTTGCAATTTCAAATTAACTCTTTTCTTAATCATAAATCATTAAGTTGAGAGTATTTTATGTTCATTATTTTTTTAAGATGTCAAATTAAGAAAAATTTTACAAGGTTGAGAGTTCCCTAATTATAATATCGAAATTCTTTCAAGATTTATTACTCCTAAAGAGATACATATAAGATTTCGCATCGAATATATTACTTTTGATGAGTTGTAATGACGTTGCAACTAATTTGCATATTATGATATGTCATACTTTTTGTACTATTCATAGTTGAATTAAAATTTATAAATATAGTTAAATAGATTATTTGTTATAATTTTGTGGTTTTTTATAATTATTTTATATTTTATATTATCTTAAAGTTCTTGAAATTAGTAAAATTTAAAGATCCGTAGGACTTACGCCTCATGTCTCAAGGCTTACGCCTCGCCTCACGCCTCCGCCTTTTAAAACATTGCTTATAACTGCATATGTAATATTTTGAAAGTATATGTATATGTTTAAAAATATGTAAGGAAAAATTGGGTATCAACATTCTGTATTCGGTTTTTTAAAATCCTATACCAATACCGTACCTAATTAAATTCGGTATAGTTCGGTTTTCTCCTTTCTGTTTCGATTTATTCGGTTCGGTAACTTCGGTTTATGCGGTTTGAATACTAACTAGTGCATAGAGCCATACACTAATATTCTTAATTAAAGTACTCAAAAATACAAAACAGAAAATGTTTGGTGACAAAAATTTTGTCCAAAACTAGCACATATCGACCCAAATAGAGAAAATTGTACATAAAAGAATATTTGATCATTAGAAATGTCTTGTTACTTGTTTAGAGTTAATTGATGAACTTTGAGAATAACGGAAAGTAAAATTTAAGATTTTTTATATTTATGTTATAATTGATAATATGTGTTTTGTGTAATATAATATATATTTCGGTACGGTATCGGTATTTTGGTATTTTAGTTTAAAATACCAAATACCATACCTAATACCAATTTTTTTTAAAACTTAAACCAAATACCATACCAAATACCAAAATTTACGATTTCGATACACTAATTCGATATTTACCAAATTATGTACGGCCCTAATTCTAAGTCCTCTTTCACCAAAGATGTTTATTGAAAAGATTATTTCCCGCAACAGCACAAGACCCATTGGAAAATCTTGCTTGTCACATCCTCCCCATATCTTGAGAACAAAACCCTTGGACTCCTGTCAATTAAAGATAACATTTTTAAATAGAGTTAATAAAATTAACTACTCCCTCCGTTTATTTTTACTTGTCTATTGTACTAAAAATACATTTTCACTTTTACTTATTCACTATACTAAATCAAGAGAAAGATAATATTTTTTCTTATTTTACCTTTATCATTAACTACTCATTTCCCATGACTTTTGGAAATGCTATCATTATTATGGGTAAAATTATAAAATTTATACTTCATTTAATTTTTTCTTAAAGGGAGTATAAAGTCAAAAGTGAACAACTAAAAGTGGACGGAGGGAGTAACAATTATTGGCACAAATATGATCATTTGTGGGGTTGATGTTTAATTTTTAACCCCATTTTTTAATAATTTTGCAACTTTAGACCATCTTCTCCTCCTCCATCTGCCTCCTTATTCCAGATGAGATTTAGCTCAAACTATATTCTATATCAAGTGAAAATTTAATTCTCCTCGATTCTCGTTTCTTACTTCTTTCAGTCCATCTTCGTTTAGTTCTCTGCTCCTCTTTTGTTGTTGCATATTTGTACTTTATTTTAAATGAGCAATTTGATTGCAAAAGCATTTAAAATAGACTTTTTGCTTCGTGTATCAATTTAATTTCTATGTTTCATAAACTCTACTCGAATAGAAAAGATATGAACTCGAATAGAAAAGATATGAACGATCGGACAACACAAAATTGTAAAAAGTCATAGGACCAATTTAACAAGATAGATAGAATGAAAATAACACCAAAATGGAATCAGTTTCAATATAATTTAACTCTATCAAGCCTGTACGAGTAGTAAAAAAGTATATAAAACATTGATTATTAGTTTATTACCAACATTTCCGACAGTATACTCCAATATTTACGGGGGTCATGGAGAGTTCACGGTGGCACTAAAATGTGAGACAGCCACAATCTTCTAGACGTCTGTTTACTGGGTATTTTAGTTTTGGTTAGTTGAAGTTGATAGTGTTGTTATACACTGTTAAGCAGAATCTTACCGTTTTTATTTGTTACTAGTAGAATGATCGCAAAGTAAAAGGAAGTTTACACAACCATATTGAGGAAGCTATAGGATTTCGAATGCAATGATGCAAATATCAAAGAATAGCATGGCAGACACCTCTACTTGTTAGGTTTTGACACTTCAACTCGCTTAAAAACATGAATTTTAAATGCATAAATGGCACATAAGCTCGGTCATCGGCCACCAAATTGAGGTATCTGGTCTAAACTTCATAGAGTAGAGGGCCGGGATAGTAGAGGTGTTTGTCAAGCTATTTTGCCTTTTAAGTATGTGCTGCAAATCTTGTGTCACAATGAAATCCAATAAACAACATTGCAATAGGATTATACTATCAAATCTGTCATTTCTGATTGCCTTTCGCTATGATTATTACCAAACCTTATAAGTTAGCAAACATACAAAGGTCTCATTTGTTTGCACTTAATAGAGGTCTGAATCTTAATCATTCAGATCTCAGACATTAAGTGCGTTTGTTTTTAAAGTCTGAATCTTAATTATTCAGATCCTAATCATTAAGTGTGTTTGTTTTTTTACATCACAACCACTTAATGGGTCTGAATAGGTCTGTATGATTAAGATCTATAACAGAGACTTAATTTCATTAAGATGCTATCACATATTCATTATTAACTGCCACCACCGCCTACCATTATCAACTACCACCATGCCACCACCGCCTACTATTATCAACTACCACCACCACCCGCACCACCACCACCACGCCATCATCATCCTCAATCATATCCGCCACCATTATCAACCATCACCACCCACTATCCCCACCACTCCGGCCACCATCATTCTCACCCACAATCAACACTTATCCACCTCATCTACCACAACTGACCACCCCATCACCATCAACAACCACAGCCGGTACTGCCCGTCTTATAACCTACCACCACCCACCCACCACCTTCCTCAGTCACACCTATTACCACCACCCGCCATTATTAACTATCACCATCACCACCATCCTCAATCATAATCGCCACCGCTACCAATCACTACTAGCTACTAGCATGAACCACCATCATCAACCAAAACTACCACCTAGCACCGCCTCTACTCGACATTCACCCGTTAGCCATCACCACCAACAACTATTATATTTTAAAAAAATTATATATTTTGTTGATAGAATATTATATTAGTTAGTATTTCATTTGCATTTTATGTTTATTAATTTTCAAATAAAGATAAATTTTATACATTCAGATGTTAAAAATCAAACGGTCTTAATTAATCCTATTCAGATCTTAATATACATCTTAGTATATTCAAATGTGCATTCATATTCAGACGTCTTAATCTTAATACACATCTTGATATTCAGATGTGTATTCAGATTCAGACGTCTTAATCTTGAAAAAACAAATGATGCCTTACTATACTTAATTTCAGCATTACCTGGTGTCCAAGATAGCTCAACGCCATTGTGTGAAGAATTTAGCCATTCAAATTTCAGTGCCAACAAAGTTCTGACCAGAACATGCTACAACTGACAAGTTGGGAGTTCAATTCAGGTGCAAGATGAATCATTAAAAGGCACAACACACAGAAGGATGACAATTGCACCTTTCATGATCCAGATGGTGAAGACATATCATGACTATGATTCTCTAATTTTATAGTCATCAACCTCAACAATTTTAGAAGACTGTTGAGAACAGATTTAAGTCAGAAAAGTAACCTAAAAGAACTGATCAATCCCAAGAAAAACATAAAACAGTAGATCGTTGTATATAGATAGATCAGAGACAAAGTATCCAAAATCTGGAAGCTGAAAGATAATTGTATGTGAAAACCTATCAGATGAAAGTCATCATATCAGAACACTAGAAACCACCAAAACCACATAAGACATCCGAGCAATAACTAAAAGAACCAGTTACAAAAATAGCAGGAATTAGATCTCACTGATCCTTTTTTCCATCTCTTATGATCTCACTGATCTTAAGCAGCAATAGATGGCTTAGAAGCTGCAGAGAGTCTAGACCTCTTCTTAGCCAAACTCTCACTGCGCCTTTCTCTTTGCTCCTTCAACCTAGTAGCAAGAAGCTTCTGATAATCAGCTGCTTCTGACTTGGCCTTGGCAATTCTCTTCTTCTTGTCAGCAATTCTAGCTCTCTTTCTTTGCAAAGTCAAGGGTGTCACTAACCTTTGAATTTTAGGAGCTTTGCTCGCCTTTTTCCCTGTCCCCACAGAGCATAATAATAACATTTAAGTAAAGTACAAGATTTCCACTTCATCAGGAGCAGACACAAACACACTTGAACAAATGTACTAATAGCTAATGACAAGCAGCTATAATAGTAAAGAACTAACCAGTTTTGGTTGTGAAATTTCTACGGTATGTGTTAACATACTTCCTGACATCATCTTCCTTGGAAAGATTGAAGAGCTTTCTAATCTTAGAAGCCCTCTTGGGTCCTCTCATCCTTGGTTTTTCAGTGTCGGTCAGCCCAGGAAGATCTTTCTCTCCCTTCTTAACAATAACCAGATTCAAAACAGAAAGATCAGGACTGACAATGCATCCACGGACAGACTTCCTTCTGCGCTCTCCATTTCGCCTACCATAACCACGGAAGCAAGGGGTACCTGTTTGATGTGTAAATGTTTAGGTACTTAAAATAACAGCTTTTAAAAAATCTTACAATCATAGCTTTTGATGCAAAGAACAATTTAGGTGTGCCCATCAAGATCATTCTAAACATACCTCGGTAGAGCAGAAGGCGAACACGGCCAGGAGTTAACACTCCCTGCTTCATTGGAAAACCTTGTTTATCACATCCTCCCATAATCTTGAAAACGTAACCCTTGAACTCCTGTCAATTGAAAATGACAATTATAGAAAGAGTTGACGAAATTTAATGATTTAAACCAAAAAACTGCGTAGAAAAATGGAACGGAAACCTACATCCCCCAAAGCATCTCCGCTAACCTCCTGGGAGATCCTTTTGTCAAAGAAGGCTCGGCTGCATTTAAAGGCTTTAGCTTAGATAATGCTACTTCAAAATACATTATGAATGCATCATTGTTGATATAAACAAGATTGGACATACATGTTCAAACAAAATACAGAGACTGCTACATAAATCCATCAATTGACACAACAACGACGACCCAGTACAATCCCACTAGTGGAGTCTAGGGAGGATAATGTGAACGCAGACCTTACCCACCCCGAAGGAGTAGAGAGGCTATTTCCGAGATCAATTGACACCTATCATGCTAAGTAAAAAGTTATAATTATAACACAGAGATGACTACTATGGCTCATATAAATATTAGTTAAGGTCAGCTATATCAATCCATTACACCGTTCATTCCGCTCCATCTAGGCTCATTCATTCCAATGTTCAATAATTTGTCTTAGAGACAGAAAAATAAATTCACACTAATCCCTACAGTATTATTATAAGCTCCACCAAAAGCACAATAGCTGGTACAAAAAGAAGTGAACAGAGGTTCACTACTCACAGTAAAATAGGAATAAAGGTATTACGATATCCTTTATATTTGGCAATTATACGAATCAATCAACGAGACTGCCCTCAATTCCAAACTAGCTGAGCTCGATCATATATTAATACTTTATAAACATTGCGACCGTATTAATAAACTATAAGCATTCAGCTCTATTTATGTCCATTTTATTCCAATAATAAACAATTCATCATTTGCGACAAATAACAGATCTCTAAAACTAAATTATCTCTCAATCTCACACGTACACTTACACGTAGCATAAAATGAGAATGACTTCTGATTAATTCTGTCTATAATAAATTAAGCTGGATTAAAACACACGATATACACACACACACAAAAAAAACACGTACATACACACACAGAGGCATATATACACACTGTTATTGTCTTACAGTTTCTGGTCATCGTCGATCTCGAGTTTCCTCTGGCATCCAGTGGTGGGATTTGCGATGTTGAACTACAAAACAAATAACAAAAATCAGCTAAAAATACTTAATAAAACACAATTAAGGGGAAAATTAGGGTTTATTTAGTAACCTTCATCTTCGGTTGAACTCGTAGGAGGCCGTGAAGATGATGAAGTGCTGTTTAACTCTATTCGCTATTAGGGTTTTTTAGTAATGGATATTTCGATATTTATATAAGGTAGCTGAACTTGGGCCTTAGTACAGGGACCAAGTGTTGGGCCTTTACTAATGGGCTTTAGCTTTGGTCTATTGATCAGCCTTTCTGCCACGTGTATTTTTTTTAGAAACAATGACAAAGTATATTTACTCTTAAAATAATAGTATATATATACTTTTTCGGCTACCGAATGTATATAGTTTCTGGCACGTGCTAAAAGTGAAAAAGCCATATTTTTTAATGTGTTTTAAAAATTTTGGTTACTAGAGAAATTTGTGGCTATTTAGTTTCTAATTGTGCATCGACTGCATTTTATTTGTACCTTTTAAAGAAAACATTGGAATTTTATGCTAGAGATTTACTAAAGGTTAGTGAATTGATCAATTATTCATTAGGAGCGCTTAGTTATTAAGAAACTATACCGTAAATATACTATAATTCGAACTACAGTATCACGAGTTTGAATTCAATGGCTTCCTAATGTTTTCCCAATTAGCTCTAGAAAAATATACGAAAAGAAAGAAAAAATTTAAGATTTGGAAGAATGATGTATTCTCATTGATTTCATAAAGGGAAAGCTGCAGGAGCTACGAAAATTGAAGCATATTATACCATTTTTTCCAAAGTATTTTATACCTTGAGCCCGTTTGGATTAGCTGATAAGCTTGAAGTGATGAAGAGTTTTTTTAAGTGCTGAAACTGATTTTTAAAATAAGCATTTACATGTTTGGATAGAAGTGCTGAAATTGATAATAAGCAGTTGATATGTTTGATTAAAAAGTGCTGATAAGCTTCTTTTGTTAAAATGACTAGAATACCATTGAATTTTTTTCAAAAGATTATAATTAAGAATTTCTTTGTAAAGAAAAGAATTAACAACGAATATGGAATGAAAAGAAAGTGAAGAAATTTATTTTGGGAAAAGTATTTTGTGAATTAAAAATATTATTAAGAATAAATTAGTAAAAGTGTTGGTCAAACTAAAAGTGCTTATAAGCTGAAAAGTCATAAGTTGGGGGGGGAGGGGGGGGGGGGCTTATGATTTATAGCTGATTTTAGCTTATAAGCCAACTGACCAGCTTATAAGCATAGCCAAACACCCTCCTTGTCTACTACGAATTAATATAATTAAATTTGCTACACTTACTAACTCTACTTCGTATTTACACAGAGAAAGGAGTTATCATTTCAATCCAACAAGTCGACAACTTCAACACCCAAGGGATAAGGCTGAGTGTAGTTTGTAAAAAGAAGAAAAGGATGGGATCAATTAGGATAACAACTTGTTCGGATTTTAGTTTTCATGTCAGACATCTGGACATCTGGTCAAGTCATCTATACATGTCATCCACAGAGTTATAGTACAATATAAAAAACATATACAACCAGCAGCAAATAAAAGTAAAATTTCAGTGGTTGATCCTCATAGCTAAAAAACAATCATTTACAACTGCAGATTAGACTTTGAGAAGGAAGTTTCAGGCTCAACAAAGGATATCTGTGACTATGAACTTGATCCACACTCTGCTGCTGGCTTTGATTCAGCATTTACATCATCTGAAGCAGGAAATTTCTCACTCGAAGCTGACAGCTCATCACCTGGAGAAGCCAATGGTTCATCGACTGGAGAAGCCGATGGTTTATCGCCTGGAGAAGCCGATGGTTTATCGCCTGGAAAAGCCGATGATTCATCACGTGGAGAAGCCCCGGAGAGAATAGGTTTTTTGAGTTGTACTAAAATCATGGTCATATTATCGCATCCTTCACCTCCAGCAGTAGGTGCCAAACACCGATCAAGAACTCTTTCACATATTGCTGAAAGCTTGGATTCCTACAAGTTAAACTTCCTAGGTCAATTATAGTTAAAGACTCTCAACCAGAGAGCAGCGCATTATTGGATAAAGAAAGAACAGAACATTATCAAAGATAACATGATGCAAATCGACTGGGGACTATTTAGCTGGCCTCAACCTTGGCTGCATTTGTTAATACAGTAAAGACATGAGAGGAGTGAAGATAATTTGCCCATTGAATCAGTTGAGTCATTACAAACCTAAGGCTAAGAATCAGTGCAATCATGGAAATCAGGAACTCGCGGTAAAAATGATGAGCCTCCTTATTTCCAAGAAAAATAATTGGAGTTTGCTTATTTCCTAGGTAACTATTACTTCAAAGAGTTTGAATTCCCAAGTGCCATCATATTACGGGGGAAAAGGGGGGGGGGATTGATTTCCTACATTGGTATCTAAATACAGCGAGTGATTCACATTTTTCCAACAGAAAATATCATAGCAAAGAGGAACTTTTCTTTTTTCTTTTCTTGGAAAGTGCAGTGCTCCAAACAAATGATCATATTTAAGCAAACAAAAGTTTGATTGCTTACATAAAAAGATGAGTGGTCAGAAAGCAAGCACATACTGCTCTAATACTAAAACAAGACTTTGTTTTTTTATTTTTTATCTTTATACAAACAATTACTCATGCACAACGAGTGTTATTAGTTTTTCATATTTTTTGAAACCGGAGGTGCAAAGTAGTGGATGTGCCTTCTTATACTTAGTTCAACTTCAGCCTTATACTCTTTTAATAGCAAAGAAGTTTCATTTGTGGCAAATAAGGATGTTCCAAAATATGGCAAGCATGCATGGCAAAAAGATGTCATTTTGGAAGAAACAGAATTGCAAAACGTTTTTTATGGACAATGCACTTCCTCACCTAGGTTTTCTACAGGTTTCACCTTTAGTGGCTTTATAATCTTTGGCCTTGGGCACCTCCATAAAGTGAATATGATGAATATCACATAACTCAAAGATCTCAATGCTACAGCTAACACACATTTGAACTTTGTACTTAAGTAACCAATCTTAATGATACAGAAGCATCAGACTAACCGAGTTCAGCTGCTCATGTATAAAGTCCACTAATTGCTGGCTCGACATGCAGTCCCTAAAAAACAAGAAACACATACTAATCAGTAGAATTTATTTCTGACAATAGAACAGAGAACTTTGGCGCAATGCAAGAGTGGTAGATGAGCCGAAAAACCATAGGATCAATGAAAAATGAGAACCAAGATAGAGTATTGTAAAATTGTTGAATACATTAGTCGAGAAGGAAACATAGTCTACGCAAAAGGTGAAAGATCACTGGCCACCGCCCTATATTCTTTACATGAAGATCCTCATCCAAGCTAAGAGAAGATGTGCAAACACTCAGATCAATCAATTTACTATGACTCAATCCCAACTAGTTTGGAATTGGCTGTATGAATCCCAAAGCATTTTGCTTTTCCCTCACCACGAGGCATGCCTAAACTTCGCCTTCTTAAAAAGTCTGGAGGGATTAAGCTGGCATACTCTCTAGAATAGATTGAAATGAGAGGATTATAGCTCAAATTTCAAATCCTCGCCCAGAATTTGGTTCTCGGGATTCCGTATCATAGGATAACTAGTCAATCATTCTATCTAATCCAGTGCAACCCTTGGTTTAATATCAGAATAAAATTTTAGTAATAAATTATCGTATATGAAGTTAAATTGTTCTACATGAGAAAATCCTAATTTATTTTGATATTCATTTCTCATTCCACAACTACACAAAAAGGGTACATCCGCCGACCTCCAAAAGTCTAATTTTTTTTTTTAAGTTCAAAAACTAAATCCCAAGGAAACTTGGAAAAGAAAACTTTGACAAAAGAAAGAAAAAGATGGGGAATATTCAAAAGACAGAAAAATTACAAGAGGAGAAAATATACAACCAATATATTCAAAAACAACAGCAAAAAGAGGAAAGGAAAAAGCAAGCAAAAACTTTTCAAATATGCTGGCTGGGGAAATGAAAAAACTGTTTGAGCAAGAAAAGGATGGAACGTTGTAAACAAACGAAAAGATAAAACCGAAGAACTAAAAAGATGTGCAACCGAAATTTCAAAAAGGAAAAAATGAAATTAGCAAGCAAAATACTTACTCCTTTGTCACAATTTGTATGGAATCTTTTCCTTTTTTTACTTCCCAAAAAATGGGTACCTTTCTATATCTAGAAACTGTTTAATTTTCACAATCTCATTTTTCCTTCTATAGCATGTTCTAGGAATTACTTATTGTCACTTTTTTATAAAAAGAGAAGTACAGAGAAAAACAAGACACCACATGGCCAATAAGAAAGAAGAAGAAGAGAAGATGAAGTAACAGATCAGTCATCCTTAGCATTGAAATATTGAATGTTGTCCTATTGATACTGAGGTTACTTTTGGTACTTTATGTAATTTAAACTTACATGGAAAAAGTCTTCCTTTTTAAAAAAAAATCGTGTGCTGTCAAGTATCACCAAGCAAATTGGGATGGAGGAAAAAAAAAAAGAAAAGAAAGGGCAGCCCGGTGCACAAAGCATCCCGCATTCACGCAGGGTCCAGGGAAGGGCTGCACCCCAAGGGGGTGCGATGTAGGCAGCCTACCCTGGTGCAAACAATTTGAAGAAAATAAAAGTTTGAGAAAGAGATGGAAGCAAAGCATATTCTTGTTCAAGAGGTGCTTGCCATGCAAAGAGGTGGGGAGAGCAGGGCATATCAAGGTTAGGCATGGGGTTTGGTCAGATGAGGGAGGGGGAGAGAGATTCTGCCTGAATTGGTGACTTCACCAGTATAGTCATGACTCATGGAAAGAGAGGCTGCACAGGAATGGAGTAGAGCCAGATCAAAGAGAAGGGGAAGGAGGACGGAGGAAAATGGAATAGCCTTTCCCTTCATCTTTCACATACACGGAGCAAATAAGTCAATTTTCACTTATCAGTAGGACCCTATATTCTAATTCTTAACTCATACACTATCCCTTCATTATAATTCAATGGCATAATGACAATCCACTTTCATCTTATATCTGTACCAAATGACCCCTGGGTACGATTCTTGAGAATCTACTCAGTTACATCACAACAATTGCCGGTGTAGTGTCGGTCCTACTTGCAGTGGCTCTTTGGAACAAACTATCTATTACCAGTAC